CCCCCCCCCCCCTCCTCTTTCCCCCTCTGCCCCGTCTGGTATTGTATTTCTTATTGAGCCATGCTATTATGCCCCTCCCATCAAAACATTAAATGGAAATATTCCCTTCCTTAGGTGAAGATGAACGTGAATAAGAGATGCCCACCACGAAACCTTCAAGTGAAAATTATCCATGGCAGCTGGCTGGAAGATTCCCTCTTGTCAACGGTTCATCTCTTCTGCACTCCCCTTCACAGGTATAAAATCTCGTTTTCTTCACTCAAGACTTGGAACTGGACTCGAGTTTTTTTTTGAAGGGAGAAACAAGTCAAACACTGACAACACATCACTTCGAACATAACTCGAACATCACATCACACCTTTCTCTCCCAAAAAGCCAATTTTTCTCTCGTCCAACGTGCATCAGCAAAACGGCATCCACCACTACCACTACCACCACCACCACCATGACCGACATATCCTGGCTCAACCGCGACGCCATCATAGCCATCCCCGCTCCCCGCTACTCGGCCGAGCTGGATGCAGACGGCAAGCCCATCTACTCTTTTTCCTCTGGTGTAGCCTCTACTGCTGCTGCTGCTGCCAACAACGAGGTCAGTTCCTACACTCATCATACCCCCTAGTCTAACCCATCACATTCTTCTCACCTATCTCTCCTTTTCCATTTCCTCCCCGGCCATGTCGATCGAAATAATGCAATATAAACACGAATAAAGCTAACCTCGCTCCTCAATATAGAACAAAAACCCTAACCTCCTCGCCGCTCCCCGCGCCCGCAAAGCTGCTCGCGCCGACACCATCTCCGACGCCGCTGCTTCTCCCAAGAAGAAGAAGCCCAACATCGCCGGCACCAAGAAGAAGACCGTCAGCCCAAACAAAACCCCGCGTCCGATCTTCTTTCAAGGCTACATCCCAATTTTCGCCTCCCAATCCCAGCCCGTCTCCCAATCCCAGCCCGTCTCCCAATCCCAGCCCGTCTCCCAATCCCAGCCCGTCTCCCAGTCCCAGTCCCAGTCTTAGTCCCAGTCCCGGCCCGGACGCAACATCCTCTGGCGTCAATTTCTTGATCCAGGTCGTCTTGCCTGCTGCCGCGCTGAGCTCAAGACTGCCCCTGGTTACAAAGGACGTAGCGGTCGCGGTCGTCCGCCGAAGCACGTCCGCGAACGTAATAAGGAAAAGGATGAGGTGTTGGCGGAGAAGCAGTGCGAGTTCATGTTTGCTGCAAACTGGAAGAATTGTTTGGGATATGGACTAGGAGTGGAGTCTGATGATGACGGAAAGGAGGAGGAGGAGGAGGAGGAGGAGGAGGAGGAGGAGGCAGTGAAAAGGGCAGAGAAAGAGAGGAGCATGACGGAGAGGGAGGCGAGGGAGAGGGAGAGGAAAATGCTGGACATGGAGGCGAGTGTTAGGAGGTTTCAGGAGAGGTTTTGGTATTAGGCGTGGGGGCCTCCATGTCCGTGTGATGGGGAGGATGAGGATGAGGATGAGGATGAGTATGAATATGAATATGAGCATTGATGATGATGATGATGATTTGTACGAGCTGCTGAGCGAGCAGCGAGCAGCGAGCAACAGGTGACGACCAATGATTGCGATGACGGACCAGAAACAAATTGAGACGGAGAAGATTGATGGATGGATGGATGGCAGGACAACCTGGGTACCTACTTGATCGAAATTTACAGTACGAGGTTTTGTAATTGACGGAACGATTTCATCACGCAATTAACAAAAGCAGTGAAGTGCAGTGTATGGTAGTGTCTAGAGTCCATATATGTGTGACTTGGTACCTCACTACCTAGTGACGGCCGTGGTCAGAATCAGAAACCCAGCACGTCTTTTCCGTCCTCCTCATTGTGAATAGGTAGACGAGGTGGACGTGGGAGGGTCTGGAGACTGGTCTGCGTCGGCGGGCGACTCCTCCTCCTTGTACGAAATTGGTAGCGGAAACGTCGCTGGTGTAGGTGATCTTGCGAGATTTGTTCGGTGTGCAGTGGCAGCAGATGACGCCTCTGGCTGCACTCCTGCAACAAAAGCCCTCCCCGTAGAAACGTCGCAGAAGTGCCCACGTAAAGGGAGACCCTGCAATCTGCATCCGAATCCGGAGAACAGCCGGAACCTGCACCCTCAAGTGGAAGTCTCAATGAAAGGAACTGGCCAATGCCTCCGAGTCCCGTCTGCCTGTCCTGTTCCATTAGAAGGCACGACCCAGCCGAGCCGTGCACCAGGTGGTCAGGTGAATTAAGTGGAAGCTGCAATGTCCGTGGGATTCTTGAGAAGATGATCGAGTCGAAATTTCCCTGTCTCTCATCCTCTCATTTTTCTCCTCCTTCGATCACCAAGTTCACCACCGACCACATTCATTCACCAAACTCCTTCTGAATCATCAACACCAACACCATGTCTCCTGCGAGCCTCAGCTACGGTGATTAGGAGGGGCGGGACAATGGGTACAATATAGTTAGAACTTAAAAGGACGATAAGTTTCAATATCATATTGAGTCAACTTTAATGTCCGGGCTCCGGCCGGCTGCTTTCTTTTATCGACTTTCATCGACTTTTTTTCGAGTAGAGGTATGGTACGAGCCACTGCCAATGCCACTTCAATAACATACATTACCACCAGGTCTCGCCATATCTAACCCCCTCTGCCACTGCTAAATCATGATACCAAATTGTACGGCAATGGTATTGGTTGTGGTGGAGATATCAAGGAGTGTCTACATGTAGTGTGGGTAGAGCCGTAGAGGTACATCCAGTGGAATGTACCATAATGCGTCTACTGCCGTAATCCCCGTTACGGCTGGCCTGGCTGTCTTACAGTCTTTGAGATTTTTGTGTACTGTATGTAGTTCCCAGATCCATGGCGACGGCACACTGCAGTTTCGTCTTTTTCAATGGTAAGGATAAGACAAGACAAGCTACCAAGTTCCCAAACAAGGGGTCCAACTCCAAAAACTCCAAGGTGCATTTTATGTAGTCAAAGGGTACCTACCTTACCGATGAGGTGACTGCATGGATGCAATGGCATATCGGAACTCGGAAATGGGCATCTTCAAGTATAACTATGCCCTAGTTACAGAACGGAACCAATTGGGTAGGTGTCAAAATGCCCAAGGGATTAGGGGGCTGGTCTGAGGTCTCGAGCTGACAAACAAACAAATCCAGTATTGGACTGTACAGTTTTACTGCTGGGAGGGAGCTTGATTGTACGTTTTCACTACCTAGGTTGATGTTCTTTTTGTACGTTGTGGTTTGTGGTTTGTCTTTGTATATATGTCATGGCATGCTATGCTCAATTGCTCATCTAAATGCTTTCGTTCCGCCTCAGCGCCACTGCCACTGCTATGAGGGGCTCCATGAGCCTCGAGCCATTCTATCGAATTCGTTTTCTAGTGCTAGCACCAGACTGTGCTTCCAATGGTATCTATCAATCCATCCATCTCATGACCATGACCATGACCCGTGCATGCTCTCTTCCATTCCATCATACAATCACCATCCATCCATCCATCGCCATTAAGTAAATAAGAATCTATAACTACATATAAAGTGAGAAAACAAATAAGAACAAGGAAGCGTGAAAAAAAAAAAAAAACGCCAACCAGCTCGCTCCAGAACTCAAAAGTTTTGGTCAAAACCGCAGATTCTCCCACCGGTTCCTCTCCCTTTTACTCTTACTCCCGCTCCTACTTCGACTGTTCTGAGCCTGGGCCCTTTCTTCATCCCTTTGACTCCGCAGTTGCGTCCAGTCTGGAGGATGGCTCATCGATCTCATCCTCGCGGATTTCAGTCTCTCGGGTTGCGGTAGCGGTGGTGGTCTCTAACCGGCCGATGGAGGAGCGGGAGGAGCGAGGTTACCCCCGGTGCCAGTTCCAGGGTGATGTTGATTCTATCTCTGTCCCTGGTTCTGAGAGGTTTGTGTCTGAGTCAAGTCGGAGCCCGTCACTGCGGCCGCCGCTTGCTGGGGTAGGTTCCCTGGGAGTTGTGCTTGTGGTGGTTGCCCTTGCTGCTGTGTATACCCTTGCTGAGGAGCGGCAGCTGTCGTCGGCCTGCTCACTCCCGCTGCTGTCGGGTTAGACATGCTAGCACCTCTCGGCCTCGCTCCCATCGGCACGGGTGCGGCGGGGCTGAGTGTGATAGGCGACGGGGTGGGCAAGTTCTGCACTGGTGGGACTGATGTGGCGGTTGCTCCGGGGGTGGTGTAGACCGGCTGAGGAGCTTGTGGCTGCTGTGAGAGGGGAGACAAAGTCGATTGTCCGGTGTACAACCCGCCGCTGGCGATGGGCGAGCTAGGGCTCATCGCTTGTTGCTGCTGCTGCTGCTGCTGCTGCTGCTGTTGTGCGGCATAAGCTGCTCCGGCGTACTGGGCCATACTCGGCCCTGGTTGTCCTTGTCCGGCATAACCCTGGCCAGTGTAGAGATTGGGGCTGAAACCGGCTTCGCCTCGCTCGACGTCAAACGAGAGGTTGGACCGGCGACCGGTGTTAGGGCTGCGAATGCTGCCTCTGCCACCACCGACCGAGGGACGAGTAACGTGCACGCTTAGAGACCTATTCCCTAGCGGCATGGGTGGTAGTCCGTCGCCAGGCTTTCTGCGTCCGCGCTGGGACTCACGGGGGTTCAGGTAATCCCTGCGGGCCATGAGGGAGGAGGTATCGTCGGCCTGGGCGCGGCCTACGGGAGAGTTGTCACGAGAGCGCAGGGTGACTCTGTCGTAACCCCAATCGTCTATAGCCTCGGCGACGGGATCGGAGGCGTTGATATTGGCTACTGCCTGTTTCTCGGCGTCCATCTTGCTGGCTCCTGTGATGCCGCTGCCCGGGGTGTGGACATCATCCTCCTCCTTCTGTTGCCGCAGTTTGGTAACCATCTTGGCCGCCTCCTTATCTTTATCCGCCTTTTCTCTGGCCATGGCGGCAAAATCATCGGTTACGGCAACAGAGTAGGCAGGGTTGGTAGGACCGCCCAACGCCTCGCCACCACCACCGGGAGCGTTGATGGGGACCGCCTTGAGTGCCAAAGCCAGGGCGCACATGAACTTGGAGCGGCGGGTGCAGCGAACGGCCTCGTTGTGCCAGTTGGACTTGTGCTTGATTTGGATCTTAAGCGTCATCTTGTCCAAGTTGCCGACGTCGTTGATCATGATGGTAATGTCGGGCTGGAAATCGCGGCTGTTTTCGGGGGAGCAGACAAACTTTTCGAGTTCGAGGCGGAGGAGCTCGATCTCTTCGAACGAGGTATCGTAGGAGACGGCGACGTCGACGGTTTCCTTCATGGCCTTGGATCGCGTAACGTTTTCGATCCAGAGGTTGTTGAGTTGGATGTTGGGGACCTAGACTGTTAGAAAGGGCGAACACAGATGTGTACAAAGAGAGAAAGAAGAGAGGGGTTACATACCTGAACGACCTGCATCTTGTCGATGCGGGTAAACACGGTGTAAAGCAGAGAAATCTTCTCAACGATAAGCTGCTGGAAATCGGGTCCCTTGATATCGACACGGTCGCCGACATCATACGGATGCTTGACGAACAGGAAAATACAAGAACCCAAGAACTCCTGCGTGGTGACGGCGAAAACGAAGGACAGCGACAAAAGCGTGGTACCAGCCGTGGCCAGCGTGGCCACAAAGCTGCTCTGGAACACGACCAAGAAGATGATGATGACGATAATCAGCACCACAAACAGCAGGACCTTATCAAACACTGTCAAGGCCTGACTGATGTCCTTCATGCTGTGCGCGATTGCCTTTCTCTCCTTGCCGATGTCGACAACCTTGCGGATCATCTCGTCAAGACTGATATCGCCGTTCTGGTCGGCATCGATGGCGTTGAAGCACTCCTCGGCCTCTTCGCGGTGGTGCTCGCCCAGCACTTCGACGATATCCTCCAGCAGCAAGGCCTCCTCGCCTTCGGCCGCGAAAGACATCCAGATACGGCGGGCCATGGCCTCGGAGCTGCGGACCTTTTCGAGAGCTTCGATGACGATGGAGTGAGCCGAGGTAGGGTTGAAGACGTTCTTGCCGGTGATTTCCGAGGCAATGTTGCCAAAGACGGAGGTGATCTTGTCGCCGATGCGGCCAACGTCGCCGACGAGGCGCATGGGGGTGCTGGTGCCTCCGCGCGCCTTCTCGGCCCTGTCGCGGATAAGGAGGGCGTTGATACTATCGCTGATGACGTAGTCCTCGTCGGCAAACTCGGGGCAGTACATGGGGAACAGGGTCCTCGAGGCTTCGTACAGCAGACCCAGGAGGTAGATGTCGCGCTTGGAGTCCTGGATGCGGTTGGCAAAGGAGCGTTGGTGGTACGAGATGCTGATGAGCTGAACAATGGCCTTTTCTCCGAGCAAAACTCCCAACGAGATGAAGACGGACAAGAGGATGCGCTTGATGGTGTGGACCCATTCGAGGCTGTCGTCTGTGAAGCGGAACTTGAAGACGAGCCAGGTAGCCAGCGACCAGAGAAACAAGGAGAAGTTGATCTCCAACGCGGCCAGCACGTTGGCGTACTTGCGAGTTCCAGCGCTGACGACGCCGCAGAGGAACATGAAGACGGAGGGGAGGACGTGGGCGACCAGCTTGGCGGTCCATAGCGACAGCCACGAGATTTCGATCCAGAGGAAGAGCCAGAAGAGGGTGTAGTTCTCCTTGTCGTCGTCGCTGGTGCCAAGCTGGATATTATCGATGTTGCCGGTGAAGGGCAGGACGAAGAGCGGGATGGCGAGCAGGAAGGCGATGGGGATAATGTAGATTAGATAGCGAGTGACGAAGGGGAAGCTGACGATCTTGTGGTAGAAGCGACCCAAGGCGTTGAACTTCTTTTCCTCACTCATGTTGGTGCCAGGCCGGCTGAGATCTCGCACACGTCGCCGTCCAGAAGGGCCAGCCTGGCGACGGCTCGACTTGCTGGCCTTGTGGAAGAGGCCATGCTTCTCGGTCGGGGAGGAGTCGACGGTGCCGAGAGTGTTGGAGAGAGTCTGGTCGACCTTTCTGGCGCCAGTCGAGGAGGCGGTTGTGGCGTTGGTGCGAACGGGTTGTAGTGGTATGTCGTTGGGTTCCATCATGTCGTCGACGTCTGATCCAGGACTAGATGGGATATGGCGGAAACCTCTGTGGCCCGTTGGCGACATGGGACTTTTTAAGGACATGGCTGAAGGAGATCAGGGTCCTGGTGGAGGTGGAGGTGTTGAGTGTCGTCGGAGGAGTGTGTTGGTGTGCGTATACTTGGTATATTGCGTAAGAGAGGTGGGTCCAGGTCGTCGTCGATGGTTTGGTGGAGACGGGGGAATTGGGATGACAGGCGATGATCTCACGACCTAGACTGCCATGACATGGGCCAAACGGGCGAACGAGAGTCGGTGAAGTGGAGAAGATTGCCCGAGTTAAGACGGTCTGTCGAAGCTTGTCTGGTGGTCCTCGTGCTGGATGGGATCTGAGGACAACAAAGACTGACTGGCTGCAGTAGTAGTGTACACGGAGTGCCGAGGGATGAACGAATGTTGGACCAGTGAATGAAGGATTGGATGTATTACTAGGTTACCTCTGTTGATGTGTCTAGGTAGGAGAGGGTAATACGAAGATGACTGTCGAAGGGAAGAGAGTGGGAAGGGAAGAGAGTAGGAAGGGAAAGAGAGTGAATGTGAGAGAAGGAGTACAATAGGTAAAAAAAAGAGAGAGTCGGGGTTCAAGGGAGGGGGGGGGGGGG